GTCCTCTTGGTGAGTGGTGAGTAGTGTCCTCTCTTGGTGAGTGGTGAGTAGTGTCTCTTGGTGAGTGGTGAGTAGTGTCTCTTGGTGAGTGGTGATTAGTGTCCTCTCTTGGTGAGTGGTGAGTAGTGTCCTCTTGGTGAGTGGTGAGTAGTGTCCTCTTGGTGAGTGGTGAGTAGTGTCCTCTTGGTGAGTGGTGAGTAGTGTCCTCTTGGTGAGTGGTGAGTAGTGTCCTCTTGGTGAGTGGTGAGTAGTGTCCTCTTGGTGAGTGGTGAGTAGTGTCCTCTTGGTGAGTGGTGAGTAGTGTCCTCTTGGTGAGTGGTGAGTAGTGTCCTCTCTTGGTGAGTGGTGAGTAGTGTCCTCTTGTTGAGTGGTGAGTAGTGTCCTCTTGGTGAGTGGTGAGTAGTGTCCTCTTGGTGAGTGGTGAGTAGTGTCCTCTTGGTGAGTGGTGAGTAGTGTCCTCTTGTTGAGTGGTGAGTAGTGTCCTCTTGGTGAGTGGTGAGTAGTGTCCTCTTGTTGAGTGGTGAGTAGTGTCCTCTTGGTGAGTGGTGAGTAGTGTCCTCTTGGTGAGTGATGAGTAGTGTCCTCTCTTGGTGAGTGGTGAGTAGTGTCCTCTTGGTGAGTGGTGAGTAGTTTGCGATTAATTATAATCATTACCCAATAAATTATGGTCAAGGTCCGGTAAATTATAGTGACTGTGCGGTTAATTTGATAATCAGTGTCCGGTAAATTATTGAATCACGTTGTGATCAATCATAGAATCATGGTCAGATTAATCATAGAATCATGGTCAGATTAATCATAGAATCATGGTCAGATTAATCATAGAATCATGGTCAGATTAATCATAGAATCATGGTCAGATTAATTATAGAATCATGGTCAGATTAATCATAGAATCATGGTCAGATTAATCATAGAATCATGGTCAGATTAATTATAGAATCATGGTCAGATTAATCATAGAATCATGGTCAGATTAATCATAGAATCATGGTCAGATTAATCATAGAATCATGGTCAGATTAATTATAGTCACACTCCGTTTAATTTTTGAGTAACAGTCCGTCTGAGTGTAGTGTTACAGTCCACTTATGTATCAAGTTACAGTCCACTTATGTATCAAGTCACAGTCCGCTTATGTATCAAGTCACAGTCCGCTTATGTATCAAGTTACAGTCCGCTTATGTATCAAGTTACAGTCCACTTATGTATCAAGTTACAGTCCACTTATGTATCAAGTTACAGTCCACTTATGTATCAAGTTACAGTCCACTTATGTATCAAGTTACAGTCCACTTATGTATGTATCTTATGTATTTAGTTACAGTCCACTTATGTATCAAGTTACAGTCCACTTATGTATCAAGTTACAGTCCACTTATGTATCAAGTTACAGTCCACTTATGTATCAAGTTACAGTCCACTTATGTATCAAGTTACAGTCCACTTATGTATCAAGTTACAGTCCACTTATGTATCAAGTTACAGTCCACTTATGTATCAAGTTACAGTCCACTTATGTATCAAGTTACAGTCCACTTATGTATCAAGTTACAGTCCACTTATGTATCAAGTTACAGTTTACTTAAATATAGAGCCACAGTCCACTTAGGTATTGCCTCACAGTTCACTAAAGTATTTAGAGTCTCACTGGCTGTAGAGTCCTGCAAGGAAGACGTAATAATGTAGAGTTATCAGAGCCTCTCTGAAGGCCTTCATATAATCTCTCATACACAATATTTTGACTCTTAATCTCTTTCTTAGAAAATTGTTTTTCTTATTAAAAAAATCCTTTTGCCTGTCTTTATTTATTCATCGTGTTTTTGCCGTTACAATTTACAAAATTATTATTATAACGATCATTAAAAGTAAATGTAGAAAAAGAGACGTAGAAATAATAAGTGTTTATCAGTATTATGACTTTTCTTCTTATTCTCTTTCTCATACTAATTATGTAAGGTTTTCCTCATTTTCCGCCAGCCGCGACCATTTTCCTAGTACAATGATTTTTTTTAAATAAAATAATAAATAAATAAATATGTTTATTCAGGTAAGGTACATACATACAAGTGATGTTACATTAATGGATTGATATATAGATAGAGCTAGTACATACAATGCCTAAAGCCACTATTACGCAATGCGTTTCGGGCAAGAAAACGGTAAGGGGGTTTAGGGGGTCCTTAGGTAAAGTAGGCGTCACACTACGTCGTTCTAGTAGGAGGACGAGTTGTATACTGATGCCAGATCTGACACTCATACTTCAACGACTATAGAAATAGTTGTTGAACAATAATAACACTCATACTAACTATATTAACTCCCTTATGTGTGCGTGAGTTAGTTTTAAAATTTTGATGTTCTAGTGACAAAATTAAGAGCAGGAAAATTTTGATGAGAGTAAATGTGTTTATATCGCTTCGAGTCACACATTAAATAATTGTAGGACTCTACCCTTGTTCAGGATTCTTGTGTACCTAAGATGTGAGACAACATCTTCATCTGGACAAAAGGTGTGAGTCAGTATGACACTTGGGAGGACTAGAACAAAGATCTAGGATGAGACGGAGGGGAATTAAGGTGACTCAACGACTATCGGATCGTCGGGGATCGAACGCCGGTCTGCAAGAAGCAGGCGAGATGTAGACATGATGTGCCCAACACGTAGTGTTCCACCCCGAGCTCTCTAGAACACTAGGCTGCTGTATGTGTGTATTTAACATTCTCCACAAGACGTTTACCAAAAAGTCCACTACGGGCTCACCATAGTCCGTGCTACTTGGAATTTTTATTCCGGGTAGCTGAATCTATAACAACAACAACAGACGTTTACCTTTTACGGGTTATTCATACCCATGCCACCTCTTGGGTGGCTTAATCTTCATCAATCAATCAATCACGTTCATCTTACAGTTACTTTAGTTCCTCCCTAAAGAATAAACTACCAAATAACGGACGGATAGCGACCCTTTGCAAGAACATAACAAATTTCGAAGCCCCTTTATCACCCGAAATATTAAAAAAAATAATAAAACTCGTTTACGCAACACGTTGACAGACAGAAACTGATAGTCACTTCAACACATCACATCCTAAACATATGAATGACCAGTTACACCAATTAGTGTTCAATTAGCCTGTCCTCTCGAACAATACATCGAATTTTGACGTCAAAATCCCCAAACGAACGAATTATATCAAGTTTGATGTAAATTTTGTTAAATATGTTTACAAAAATTTGTGTAAAATATTTTGATAAAATATGCAACATTTATACATCATATTTTGATGATTTTGACCATCAAAATATGATGAACAATATATCATAACGGGTGAAAGACCTTCACGTGTTCTATACATGATTCCATCGGGTTCAGGGGATTTAGTACCCTCTTTTCTGTCCGTTCTGGCCATTCAAAACAACGGGCTAGTTCAATGAGCAGTTCCAGCTAGCAACACCCACGGTATCATGATCATTAGTGATCAAATTAGTGCTAGTAATACTAACTAATGCTAATACCGTGCTAGTATCAACATCAACAAAGTAAGCTCCTTTGATCGTCAATCACAGCTCAGACCACACGAAAGGCGCCCTTCTTGCACTCTTCGTTCACCTTGCAAGGCGCACCTTGCAAGACGGACATCAATCACACCTCAAGCACCCACTTACCTCCTCAATTGTGCTATTAATCTGAATGAAAACCCCCAAAAATGTGAACAATAACGCTAGGAGCCATATTTGGCCTGGCTGTGTGAAGTGCATGCTCACTAAAGACTCGGGTATCCGGCTCTTGGCTGGCTTAGTGAACCACAGGCTCGCTAATAGTTCATGTATCCGGCTCCGGATAAGACAGCAGGTAAACAGCGAACATTGCATCAACATGAGGTATATTAATTAATCGAGAGAGAGACGGATCAATTTGTGGTTTTAAAATTATCTTCAAGTTGCAAAAGGATTTTTCCTTTTCGCGAGCGATTAGTTTTTTTTATACTTACGAAGTTGGCTTACAAATTACGGTAAATAACCTCTTTGTTGAAGTTATAATGAGCTCCAGAGTATTTTCCCCCGAGGGTGTAAGATGAAGGATTCACAGATAGAATAACTATTTTGAAATACAAGGAACTAATACAATACAGTTCCTTGTAATCAGCTTTAATACAAGGAACACAACCCCCTCCCCGAAACTTCAACTACCATCTGAGGTAATGTTGGTAGTATACCCCAGGTACGACCACCACGACTATACCTAACTACCACAAACACGCCCATTCGCGCATATTTCCAACCTTTCCCTACCAGGTTATGCCAAGCTGGTCGACGACAAGAATGATGCCATCTGTATTCGAAGCCACAGAGGACAGACAGCTGGCTATAGCGTTCTAGACTGTGGTCCCCAACGCCAGGTGGCTTCTCGTAGACTACTTGAGTACTGAGCCAAGGTGATCTCCTGACATATATACAGACTGCTAGAGATGGTTGGGCTCGGTACTAACGAATTGTGTGGCTGGTGTTTCGTGTCTTCGTAAACATTGAAATGTTAATATCAAGCTATGTATTCTACAGTTATGAAATCATTCAATGTTTAAGTCGTACTTGTGACCAAGTCATAGGTGTGACCAAGTGGTACACATATGTGACTTGGTCATATATGCACGATTTGGTGGCATGCAACACGCGGTCACATATACAACTCACAGATTCTGTGATTTCACACAACTGCAGAATATATTCGTATTCAGCCAATTCGCGGAGGCCCGAACTGAGTACTGAGTACTCAGTACTGAGTACTGAGTACTCAGTACTCAGTACTGAGTTAGTACTGAGGAATATTGTTCACCATCACTCACTCAGCGTTTATCAGCGGGATGACGTTCTCAGCTCTCGAGAGACCCGAGAGAGAGATTAATAAACATAATGTACGTCTTACAGCCGGCGTCTATATTGCGTCTAGAACGTTGAGTCATTCGGGCTCACATAACTTATGTTGCGTCTGGTTGACTCACTCGCCTTGTCTACAGTGGTGTTCTGTTGCTGAGGTTGGTTGGTGTTCCTTCTCCTGTGGGAGTGACGCCCATGCAATGCTGCCCTGGGCGTCCTTCTTCTGTGGGAGTGACGCCCATGCAATGCTGCCCTGGGCGTCCTTCTCCTGTGGGAGTGACGCCCATGCAATGCTGCCCTGGGCGTCCTTCTTCTGTGGGAGTGACGCCCATGCAATGCTGCCCTGGGCGTCCTTCTTCTGTGGGAGTGACGCCCATGCCATGCTGCCCTGGGCGCCCTTCTTCTGTGGGAGTGACGCCCATGCAATGCTGCCCTGGGCGTCCTTCTTCTGTGGGAGTGGCGCCCATGCAATGCTGCCCTGGGCGTCCTTCTTCTGTGGAAGTGACGCCCATGCCATGCTGCCCTGGGCGTCCTTCTTCTGTGGGAGTGACGCCCATGCAATGCTGCTCTGGGCGTCCTTCTTCTGTGGGAGTGACGCCCATGCCATGCTGCCCTGGGTGTCCTTCTCCTGTGGGAGTGACGCCCATGCCATGCTGCCCTGGGCGTCCTTCTCCTGTGGGAGTGACGCCCATGCCATGCTGCCCTGGGCGTCCTTCTCCTGTGGGAGTGACGCCCATGCCATGCTGCCCTGGGCGTCCTTCTCCTGTGGGAGTGACGCCCATGCCATGCTGCCCTGGGCGTCCTTCTCCTGTGGGAGTGACGCCCATGCCATGCTGCCCTGGGCGTCCTTCTCCTGTGGGAGTGACGCCCATGCCATGCTGCCCTGGGCGCCCTTCTTCCGTGGGAGTGACGCCCATGCCATGCTGCCCTGGGCGTCCTTCTCCTGTGGGAGTGACGCCCATGCAATGCTGCCCTGGGCGCCCTTCTTCCGTGGGAGTGACGCCCATGCAATGCTGCCCTGGGCGTCCTTCTTCTGTGGGAGTGACGCCCATGCAATGCTGCCCTGGGCGCCCTTCTCCTGTGGGAGTGACGCCCATGCCATGCTGCCCTGGGCGCCCTTCTCCTGTGGGAGTGACGCCCATGCAATGCTGCCTGGGCGCCCTTCTCCTGTGGGAGTGACGCCCATGCCATGCTGCCCTGGGCGTCCTTCTTCTGTGGGAGTGACGCCCATGCCATGCTGCCCTGGGCGCCCTTCTCCTGTGGGAGTGACGCCCATGCAATGCTGCCCTGGGCGTCCTTCTTCTGTGGGAGTGACGCCCATGCCATGCTGCCCTGGGCGCCCTTCTCCTGTGGGAGTGACGCCCATGCCATGCTGACCTGGGCGCCCTTCTTCTGTGGGAGTGACGCCCATGCAATGCTGCCCTGGGCGTCCTTCTTCTGAGGGAGTGACGCCTATGCAATGCTGCCCTGGGCGCCCTTCTTCTGTGGGAGTGACGCCCATGCAATGCTGCCCTGGGCGCCCTTCTTCTGTGGGAGTGACGCCCATGCCATGCTGCCCTGGGCGCCCTTCTTCTGTGGGAGTGACGCCCATGCCATGCTGCCCTGGGCGCCCTTCTCCTGTGGGAGTGACGCCCATGCCATGCTGACCTGGGCGCCCTTCTTCTGAGGGAGTGACGCCTATGCAATGCTGCCCTGGGCGCCCTTCTTCTGTGGGAGTGACGCCCATGCCATGCTGCCCTGGGCGTCCTTCTTCAATGTGATCACTGACAGACACTGTGCCTGGCAGGTCTGCCCAGACAGTTGATACATAACAAGCATATGTCTCGTGTTAGGTAGTAGAACATAGGATCACTCCTTAGGTATGGGCATTGACAGGTGTTATCCACTGATAATGATGCACAGACGCAGGTAGATACACTAATGTAGACACAGACACATATAGAGTCAGAGAGAGAACACACACACACTCACATCATATCATAGATACTATTGCATTCCATTCAATAATATAATTGTAAGTGGTAGACAGATTCCTGAGCCTACTAGGCTCTATCAAATTTAGATATGATAGGGCCCAATAGGCTCAGGAATCCGTACACCGGTTGATTGACAGTTGAGAGGCGGGACCAAAGAGTCAGAGCTCAACCCCCGCAAACACAACAAGGTGAGTACACACACACACACACACACACACACACACACACACACACACACACACACACACACACACACACACACACACACACACACACACACACACACACACACACTAGGTGAGGACGAGGTAATATCATTAAAATTCAAGATTGATTTTATTGCCTGGGCAGTAAGGTTGCAAGAATGAAGCTCCTCTCCTGACTTGTATTAAAGATGTGTCATAATCTCTCTCTCACTCTCTCTCTCTCTCTCTCTCTCTCTCTCTCTCTCTCTCTCTCTCTCTCTCTCTTCTCTCTCTCTCTCTCTCTCTCTCTCTCTCTCTCTCTCTCTCTCTCTCTCTCTCTCTCTCTCTCTCTCTCTCTCTCTCTCTCTCTCTCTCTCTCTCTCTCTCTCTCTCTCTCTCTCTCTCTCATGCAATATCAATAAAAACACAATGAAAACACTTCGCACATAGTCGGTTAGTGTACTATAATCACTACCTTACCTACCTACCTAACTCTTAAACACTCACAATACAACAAGTCTAAGAACAAAACTCATATTAGCAAATTTTATTTTCAGTTTAAAGGGTATAAAAGATTATAGGATAGTTTTGTTTTACAATACAGCAAGGAAAAATGATAAGAATAATAATAAAAATAATGATAATTTTGAGTCTATTCATAATGGTAAAGCAAAATCCGCTGTGGGGGGGGGGGTCACTTTGGCACATTGTAAGAGTGGCACTCTTTTCTTTAATGCTAATCCCGACTCTATCATGACGGGCACGTACCCAACAGCAAATAAAGTAAAAAAATTAGGAGAGGCTAGCCTCGAACATCTGGCCTTGAACCTCGGACAGATATATATATATATATATATATATATATGCGAACAAGCCTGAATGGTCCCCAGGACAATATGCAACTGAAAACATATATATATATATATATATATATAAATATATATATATATATATATATATATATATATATATATATATATATATATATATGCGAACAAGCCTGAATGGTCCCCAGGACAATATGCAACTGAAAACATATATATATATATATATATATATATATATATATATATATATATATATATATATATATATATATATATATATATATATATATATATATATATATGCGAACAAGCCTGAATGGTCCCCAGGACTATATATATATATATATATATATATATATATATATATATATATATATATATATATATATATATATATATATATATATATATATATATATGTGTGTGTGTGTGTGTGTAACAGGGATCATGAAAACACTGATCAAACTATGTGGACACAAACCACATTGAAAAATAAAAGCATCTTAAACGCGTATTCCACCGTGAGCGTTGTCAAGCTCTGATGAAGTCCTGGCGATAGAAAACGTGTTTAGCATTTTTCAATGGGGTTTTTCCGCGCACACACACAGTATGTGTGTGTGTGTGTGTGTGTGTGTGTGTGTGTGTGTGTGTGTGTGTGTGTGTGTGTGTGTGTGTGTGTGTGTGTGTGTGTGTGTGTGCCCCTGAGGTGTATCCTTAAGACCTTAAGAATATATTGCCCTACATCCCCTGCCCATTGGTCACCACTACTCGCAAGAGGTCATCAATGGCGCACCTCCCATCTTAGGAAGCCATGGGGGGTGGGGAATTATTGATCCTGACATAATAACAATTTATTAATGCCAGCTGACCCTGCGTGACCTCTTCCCACTCCACTTGACCTACCATGACCTCATACAGGATAGAGATTTGAACAACGTTTCCTTACACCTGATGCATATATTCCCCCTAGCATGACATAGACACCCGAGATACAAGCGACTGTTGTGGACAGCATCTTTGGGAAAAGTTTGTAGTAGAGTCTAATGGGCTTCCTCTTAGCCTCGCTTAGCCTAACAGGCTTTCTGTCCCCCCAAAAATGGGAAATCATATATAATATACTGCCCCCCCGCGGGTTGCAATTTTCGCCCTGTCCCCATTAGCCCTTATCTAATCTCATTATCTCCACAGGATCTATCAGAGATGTGATCACGTCCTTCCTTGACCTCAGTTGACCTTTCCTGCACCCTAGAAATATAAACTGGCTATCAGAGGGACCTAACAGGGTCGGATGGGTTCAGTGCGAACCAGCTCGTTAACGCCAGTTACAGAGGCAACGGGAGACGATAACTCCTAGAGCTATGACCCAGACGGAAGATCTTCTCTCCCGCGGATGCTGGAGGCTGCTGCAGCATCCGGCATGTGGACGCTTCCAACGTGTTCTGAAGGTGAGGGAGAGAAGATGACCAAGCCACACACTACAAGATGGAGAAGTGACGATTTTTCGGTCCGTCCTGGATCATTATCCAAGTCGTAAAGGCGAGCGACTCACACTCGACTTCGTAATGGTCCAAACGTCGTCGTCTTCTCATCTTCTGGTGCGTGGTTCGGTCGTTATATCCTCAGCTCCGTTATTGTGACTCACCGTCTGCATGAGGAAGGGAAGTGTGTGTGTGTGTGTGTGTGTGTGTGTGTGTGTGTGTGTGTGTGTGTGTGTGTGTGTGTGTGTGTGTGTGTGTGTGTGTGTGTGTGTGTGTGTGTGTGTGTGTGTTTGCCGTTTGTGCTTCGACATATATGCTCCGAGACACCTGGACGACTGCGGCCACCTCCACGAAGTATTTACAATAATTTCAACCTGCATATTTTACGTCCATCTCATGAATGAGTGACAAACACAATTCCCACTGTCGGGTTCAGGAAGCCCGGGTTCAGCTCTGTATCCAGAACTCTCCTTGTACCCACTCCATTTCAGAATGAGTGTACATTCAATACCTCGTTGGTCAGCACTCGAACCCGGACGAAATCGTCCGCGAGACTCTAGGCAAATGTTACCACAGTGCCACCAGGGTGCTGGCGATGCAGTAGCAGTAATGGCAGTGGGAGTTATAAGGGTACTAGTAGTAAGTACTACGAGTA